TGAAAAATAAAACATCATTTGCTTTGATCACAAACCATTTAAAATTATCAGTAACACCCAAGTCCCCAGAAAAATCCTCATGATTTTTATTTATTAACAATAAAACTATCTATCTGTAGATGATCACAGCACAGTGGGATGAAAAATACTTTGTCAGAGTGGTTCTGTACTTATCTATTTTAAAACCAAGTTTCCAATTAAGATTTAATTTTTATAAAGAAGGGGTTCCAGAATCTTTTTTTTTTTGAGGAGTTGAAAATAAAAGAACCAGAAAATTAATGAGATACAATCTTTTAGCACACACTAAGTAAAACAAAAACAATTAAATGTATTAAGAAGAAAAAGCAATCTATCTATATGTGTTAGTTTAAAACCAAGTACTCTATAAGCAACCAATAAAGCTAATATAAGGATCACATGTTATTTCAATTATTACCTGCTTTCATATGCCAATTAGAAAAAAGCTTTCAAAATTTCTCCGTAGTTTACAGACAAGGAAAGAATGCTTTGGGGTTAGGTAATGGTAAGATAAAGCAATCCAGAATGTGAATTGTAACAACCACTGATATAATCCCATTCACGTAAAATCACAAATTCTTATGATAAGATATTTTAAAAGGGAAAAACATAATCATTAATCTAAAAATGGTTTATTATATGTTACTGGATAACCATAGTATTCTCTATTGAATTAAATATCATTAACCTTATACGTATTCCTTTAAAAAAGATACAGTATTTGTTCATCTATGCCCAAAGTTTTTTATACTAATTTCCTTTTTACACGAGTTCCTAGGAACTGCTTTTACTGACAGTAAAAACCAAATTTCTTGTTATTTACTTGTACTCAATAATCAGGTGATACATTAAAATAAAATTATTCTTACAGTAAGCTGTCCATGCACCGGAGAAAATGCCAGCAACAGTAAGGGCAAAACACTACACTGTCTCTCTTGTGTTTATCTTGCTGTGGCCACTTTACTGACTCAATTTACACTGCTACAAAACTTATACATATTAATTCATTTAATCCCCACAATAACCCTATAAAGGGGGGGTATCATTTTAATCCCCACTTTACAATTGAGGAAACTGAAGAACAGAAATATTCCAAAGCACATCTAAGGTAACATAGCAAATTAGTGGCAGAGCATGGATCTGAATCCAGTCTTGCTCCGGTACCAGCACTTTTCAAACCACTTATATGTACCGTTCACCAGGAATCTTGTTAAATTCAAATTCCGGGTTGGGAATTGGAGGAAGCAAGAGTCTGCATTTCTAACAACCCTAATCTGTGATGCAGATACTGATGGTCTGCAGATCACTCCTTTAAGCAGCAAAGTTCTAGTCTACCCTAGAAAATGATGGAAAGTGGTAGCAACCCTCAGAAGAAAGTAGCATTTATCCTCAATTTGGCTTATAAAGAAGTTAAAGATTACCAACTACTGGTCTAGAAACAACTCTTTTTTTATGATTTCACTTTTTTTTTAAAGAAGTTAACAAAATTACCTGATCTCAAGTTTTGTTTATCAATGTATTAATACTATTAACTTAAAAATGTAATACATATCCCCCAATATGGCCTTTCCCACATTAAAAAACTATTTATTAATAGAAATACCAACGAAAATCTTCAGAATAGATACAATCTGACAAATTCATGAATATTTTAAGAGCATATATTTGTGCTTCTTTCTATATGGAAAGAAATTAAGGGATAAGTTAGAAATCCAATGCCTTTCTAAACTTTTGCTGTTGCACAAGTGGTGACTATGAGAGGACAAGGACACCCTCTGGGAAACAGATGGAAAGCAAATGTCTTAATAACACATCACTAAACAATTCTAGTCGATAATTCTCTCTAAATACAAATAGGGAAATGCCCATAACACAGTTTCCCTTCACTCTCAATGATGTACAAATTATTTATAATCTAATCTATGTAAACAGCATAAACTGAAACCAGTGAATAGACATATCCCTATATTTAGTACACTACGGTCCATGGCCCTCCAATACCTAAAACCTGCAATAACACCAAATCACTGGAAATAACATCATTATCAAAGTTTTACACCATCGGGAAAAGAAATATCAACATTATCAAAATATATTAAAACATGTATAAAGCCATACACAATTCAATTAAATCTATCCTAAGATCACCCTGAGTGTTACGTACTAGACTGAACTATATACTAATCAATGAACATTTCATTAATTAAAACATAAGAAAGGATTTTAGAGAAATCATCCCAGTCCGAATAATCTTGGTTTTGCTGAGTTTTGTTGTATTTCACTCAACTTTTTCCTGAATGTACACAGATATGCTTTACATTTCTTCCCTGAGGAAGAATTAAATCTGTCATGTACTTTGACAAGCTTGTAAAAATCATATTCAAAACTGTAATGGAATTCTGCTTAAATAACTACACATGAAAGGCAAATGTATTAGGTTTCATAGATCTCAGGCAATACCAAGTCACATATTCTAGAATTTATGAATATAGATTCCATTTTTAATTACAACATAAATTAATAAATTTAAACTGTACAATCACCATAAAGCTAAAATTCTCATTTACGCACTTGTGAATTAAAAGAACATATAACATCACAGATCTGACATGAAGGCAAAAATACAATACAAATTCAGGCTTATTTGTCAAAATTCTAAAATACCTCTATTAAACACTCAGTATTCCAATTCTTACTCAGGACAAAAACTAGGTCTTCTTCCACCCAAAAGAATCTGAAGACACACAAAGTATCTGGATATTTTACTTGCGAGGCATATGGAAAAACAATGCCTCTCAAATAATAAGAAACAACTTATCCTGATTCCCTACTAAGACATATTTTATGTTTGTTTTTCACATATACAGCCACACAGAAACTCATCTATTAAAACTTGAGAATTGAAAGATGTCATTTACAAGAGTTAATAGTCATCACAAGGTTGTGACAAGGGAGTGCAGGGATGAGGTGTTCCATGTTATTGTTCACAGAAAGCCCAAAGTTTTGATGTTTCACTAGTCTAATCACTAAATGAGAAGCATTATTTCAAGGACTTAAATGAAATCTGGGTTATAAAGAGAAAGACAAGTGAAACCTCTGATCTCACTGAAAGAGTCTACTCCCTCTAAAATAATCCTCAGTGACCTTGAGGAAACATTCCCAGGGTTAAACATGTAAAGCAGATTTCTTTGGCAACTGCAACATTAGGCTACCGCTCTGAGGGCACTCAACACATGTCTACTAGGCTCTCTAGATTTATGCACGTACATTAGTTTGTTCCATTTGCAGAAAATCAACAGAAACCTTTAAAAATGTTTGACCTTACATGCAATTTTAAAACATTTAAGAGTTCTGAATTGATAGATCTTTACATCTTTCATAATGGGAAATATCAGAATACACTATGCAAGTTAAGTGATTCTTCCAGAGAGCAAATTTAACTTGACCTCCTAAATGGCTACAGATTTGACACACTATTTAGAAGGCTGGAGGGAAAATACTTTGATTTACTTGTTCTCTAAAGCAGCACTGTTCAACAAAAATATAATGTAAGTCACATTTGTAATTTGAAATATTCTAATAACCATATTAAAATAGTAAAAAAGTAAAATTAAGTTTAATAACATTTTATATAGCCAAATATATCCAAAATATTATTTCAATATGTAATGAATATATTTTTAAGTCAATTTTTTTTGTAAAAAATCCAATGTACATAAATTTTACCCTTATAGCACATCTCATTTTGGACTAGCCACAAGTGAAGTGATCAACAATCACATGTGGCAAGTAGTTACATTACAGGACAGCACAGCTCTTAATACTTTGAGATCTGACATACCACTATCTCCTTAAAATTAGTTTACATTCATGCTTCCTATTTGAACTGAAATTACAAATACAAGCAAACTTTTCTTTCACTGGATAAATCAGGACCAAATCACCTTATCTGAGGATCCAGTTAACATACACAGTAAGAAGCGATTGGATTATACCCTATTATATCACAAGTAGACTTCAGAGATAGGGTCTGATCATCCCAAGTGAACACAACTTGTAGCAGAAATGCAGGTTAAACACAAAAACATGTTCCTATCAAGCCATAAAACTGCCTTATTTCTTGCAGCCACTCACATTATTGAGCACATATCTCTACACAAATTACCTATAATATTGTTGCCTATGTGTGTCGAATTTTGTAAGCCATATAGTCATCATTAAAAAGAACAGAGCACTATAGAAATGAAATAACAACAATTACTGGAGAAAAAATTATCGACCAACTACTTTCAATGTATCTTATACCAACCAATAATCTTAAATTCATCTGAGTTCCACTGAAATGAATTCCCCCAATTCCAATTCATTTACTGCTTTTCATACACATATTCCAACTACCAAAATTACTAAAAATTTCCGGAAGCAATTAGGACATTTGCTTAAAACGTAAATAATTCCAACAATACACTTTCTAGAAAACGAGGACTAAAACCATTAGCTTAGCACATAAAATCTGTCCTGAAGGCAAGTTACTGAATAAATCAAACAGAAACAATTATATGCTTGTTTACTGCATTTACATTTTGTAACACCACATTCAGCAACTTCTAAATGTGGAAGGTCAGTTCAGATTGCACACAAGCAGTAACTTTAAAGCTTAACAAAATTTTAGAAGTTTCTTCAGCATACTTCTCAATAAACACACTCTGCAGAAATACATCAGAACAAAAATCAGCACCATTCATACGAATCTCAAGCACAAAATCAGTATATTCATAAATCCACAATGTATACTTATGCTAAAAAGTATTTTTCTCCCAATTATATCTAGTTGACCTTCTGCAATTTTTGTTTAATGCACTTGCAAAGCTGTAAAGAAGCAAACATTGTCTCCTCTGCTGCACACATATCCACAGAAGACACACCAATCTCTTCATATTTTTTCACAATTTTAAACCAAAACAACAAAATTCATTTCTTACCTGCAATTAGGAGGAGGATCAAGGGTTATTTCAGCTAGCTCCTTTTGAATTCTGTTAGTGAAATGAGAACAGACAAAAAGGATTTGAGATAGTCTACAGAATAACCAGGGAATTACACTGCCCTCTACCACCATGCAGTTAAATGCAAGGCTGGCTCTGCCTTCAGTAATGCTAACATGGCTGCTTCCTCTTTGTTCTCAGAGGCATAACCCAAATCCCTTAACAGAAACTTTGCAGCTTTTTTTCTCACTTGCTACTGCAAATAAGTAAGTCATTTACACTTGATTTGAGAAATACTCATCCACTAGTACTCAGTAAAGGATATAATATCTATTTCAAAACACTTTTTACCCAAGAAATTCTCTTTTCAAGCTTATATGCAAATGAGACAAAAAGGGAGGAGGGAAAGCACTGGAATATTTGACAAGGACTTCAAGTGACTTTTACTGAGGCAAAAATTAACAGGCTACTGCAAGAGCACATTAACAGTTCTTAAAACATTTTAATCTGTCAAAAAAAAGTTTAAAATTTACAAATATCTTTATTGGTGAAAAACTTTCAAAGACTACTTAACATTCTAATTTAACCATTTCCATTTTTCCTGATCTTAGGTACAGCACTTAAATTTAACAAATATTGAGAAAAAGAGGAGAAAATATATAGGCCTGAGTTAAGGGGAAGAAAAGCAGTTTTCTGATTTGATTCAAATTTAAGATGCTTTCAAAACTTTAGATGTGAAGGATTTTAAATTAGGTCAAAGACTGCTGCCATTCAAAAATATTCTCAAATTATTAATACTTTATTACTGAAACAATAATGATGAAAAGCCATAGAAAAATAAGGTATTTCTGAATCACCACAGAATGCAATACTTGATCAGTTTTTATATTCTTTTTCCTTTACTTGTGACATCAAAATTGGTTAATGCTGTAGATATTATACATTTTACATATAATTACTAGTTTGTGGATATTCCACCACTAGTACCACTGATGGAGTCTCATTGACAGAATTTTTTTTTCTTCACCAGAAAATATAAATCAACAAGAAACAAATGATCTTTCACTTACATCCAATTAAATATGCTTCTTCTGCTGCTGAGTATTAACTTGTCAAGCATATCCACAAGTTTCAGAGTGAAGAGGCCCAAGGACAATACAAGTTTTCTATCACCAAATGACACCTCAAATTGTAAAGGGCGACTTTTCAGTTTGATTTGCCCTCACAAGCACAGGGAGGAATAATCATAATTTAACCACGAAAGTTACCTGTGATGCATGATTTAAAGTCATGTTTTGTAAAACTGTAAGCAGATTTGCAGCACAATTTTAAATCTGCTTTCAAATATAGCAAAACCCTGAATTTGCAAATTTCCTAGCACATATGATCATTTCTGATCATTAAGTTTCATGAAGAGAGGCATTGCTAATCTCTGGAAGTGTCAATCTCATTAAAGAAGATTATGACTCATAAAAGGAAACATCCCGAAAGTACCATCTAATTTGGGTTCGCCAAATTTTCCTTACCAGCTCCTTAAACAATGTGTCAATGTTAGTCTAATCTCTACTCAAGGACACTCTTAACTAAAGTTACCAAAGTACAGAATAAGTTTGCTTAAAAATATAATTCTAGTAAAGTTGCTTACATACCACCTTAAGAATGACAATTCATTCAAGTACAAATAAACTGATAATGAAGTAAATATTCCTGAACTATTGTTATTGATGTAAAGCCAACAAAAGTGTCCAACCACCTGGAACAACCTGACAACGTGTGCTGGATCCTTCTTTTACACATTACCTTTTAGCACTAGTGGATAACTTAGCAGTGGTTTTGCTAGAGAGTTTGGTGTTTTTCTTCTGCTGGGTGGCAGAAGGTTTTCTTTCTTCTTGTTCTTCAGGCTCTGGAGCGGCTGGGTCTCGCTGGTCCGCATCTGAACTGCCACTGCTGGTGCTGGGGCTCTCATCATCGGACCTTTGCCTATCACTGGACATCTTGGTGAAGTTATCTCTTGGAAAACTTTTAAAGAGAACGGGGAAGGCGGGAGAGAAAATGTTAAATCTAGGAAATAAACCAACAGCATTTTCTTCTATTCATCTAAAATCGCATTGTTGAAAAATGAAAAAGCTTCAAAAGCGTTCACATTTATTTAATCGTACAACAAGGGTACAGGGGAGGTGATGTGTCTCACAACGCCAGCGTTCAAGGATTTGCCGAACTCAAGTTAGAAAACCCACTCACATTTTTTTCCATCCCTTGGACAATCTATCAATTGTCTACTTTCTCAGAAGGCATGAAACAGATTTGCCAGGGAACTTAGGCAACAAGCATTAATAACATATGACACACTGTAAATAACAGATCTCGCTGAAAAATGTTAAAAAGTCACTAATAACGTCTAAATATTTACACACTGACATTGGTCAAAGCTACCAAATTCCCTTTCCGAAAGGAAAACACACCCTGTTAATCGCCCATATGCTTATTTAAGGTGGCGATTCCTCCTCAGTGCACGAAAAGCCTTTAAATACAACACTTGGAAATTTAAAAATCAACTAACGAGCTGCTCTAGCTTTTTCCACGGCCAGCAGCGAAGATTCATCCGGCCAAGACCGAGCTGCCACCCTGGGAAAAGCAGAATTCAAACTGCACCTTCTGCAAAGCTCCCAATGCCACCAAGGTTCCTCGCTCAATTTTTACATCACGGGCCGACATTTTGTCCAAAATAACGAAAAAAAATTAAAAACCCAAGGGAAAAACAAACAAACAAACAAAGCCCCAAGAAGTGCAACAAATTTCCGCGCCCGCGGAGGCGAGCCGCAGCCGGCGGCGGCGGCCACGCAGCTCCGCGGCCCTTTGTGGGGAGGGCCGCGCGGGGGCCGCGGGCAGCGCTCCCCGCGCCGGGCGCCAAGTGATGTGAGCAGCCCGGCCGGCCCCGCCGCGGCTCGCGGACACCGGCGGCGCGGGCGCCCGGCGCGAACAAAGCTGCCCGCCCCCGCCCCCTCCCCCACCGCCGCCGCCGCCGCCCCGGCCGCCCCCCACGCGGCCCCCCGGCCCCGCCGCCTTACCTCGGCCGCCCGCCCGGCCCGCTCGCGCGCCGCTACGGTGTGGGGGAGGGAGAGAGAAAAAAAACCCTTCCTTAAGGAAATGGAGGCAGCTGTGGGGGGGGGAAGGGGGGGGAGGGAAAAAAGAAGCCGAGGAGGCTCTGGCCGGGGAGTGTGGAACATTGAAAGTCGGAGGGGGTTGTGCAGTGCCGGGCTCCGGCCGGAGGGTGGCGCCGCCCCGCGCCTTCGGAAAAAAGGGGGGGAGGTGGGAGCTCGGCTGGGCGAGGGCGCGAGCTCCCGGCGAGGCGGAGGGGACGCGGGAGACCCCCGCGCGCTGTGGCCTCCCGCCGCCGCCGCCCGGCTCGGCTCCTCTCGGCCGCGCAGTCAGCAAGTTCCGAGGCAAGCGAGGGGGGAGGGGCGGGCGCGGCGGCAACGCGCGTGCTTGCTGCTTGCCTGGCGGAGGGACGCGCGCCGCCGGCGCCCAGCGGGCGCGAGCCGTTCCCGCGCGCTCCCGCGCGCGCTCTCCGCGCCTCCCCTCACCCAGGGGGTGCACGCGTCTGCCCGCGCGCGGCCAGGACAAAGAGCGCGGCGGGGACCCAGCGGGCTGGCCCCTGCCGCCCTTGGCCGTGGAGCCCGTGCCAGAGAAGGCGGGGGCGCGGGCACCGTCTCGCGGGGCCGCTGTGCCGCGGGGTGGCTTCCGGCCTGGGCCCGCCTCCGGGGCGAGGCTGCCCATTGGGCTACCCGCGTCCCCAGGGCTGGCCCCATCCCCTCCGCCTACGCGGGGCCGTCGTGGCTCCCGGGTCCCCAGTACCTGCGCAAGGGTCCTGGCACGTGGTTGGGAGTCCCCCGCCGCCCCGGGAGACGGGAGACTAATGGGTGTTGTTGAGGAGGCCAGGCACGCAGGCGGAGAAGAGCTGCCACTTGCCCCTCGTGTGAGCTGGAGGAAAAGGGACAAGTTGGGGTCCTGGGCATTGAACATGGTAGAAGTCATTTGGAGATTAGGAGACCAACCTCTGTTTCTTTTTGGCTCACAGCTTGCAACTATCGCTGCCAAAGTTGACTGTCCTTCCAATGCTTTGAAACCTTAAAAATCCAACACAGTGATTAAAATGTCCCGCTCAACATTCTAAAAAGTGAACGAGAAGAGTTTGGGGTTGGGGAGTGGGGACGAGACCTAAAACATGACACATTTTGCGGGACTCTTCTGTCTTGCCCATGAGGTGTCAGTTCTGGAAAGAGAATTCGTGCCTGATGTTGGGTCAGAATGTCCACCCAGAAGAGCTTTAGGTGGAGATAGTGACAGTTTTGTTTGTTCTACCATTCTTTTTGCTGTCTCCAGGTGGACTCTGGTTTTTACCCCGCGGCGCAAAGTAGCTAAAATACAGAAACTTCCTGTTTGCTGCCCGGACCTTCTCCAGCTACTGAGAGCTTGTTCCAGTGATGGAGTCTCAAAGGAATTTGTGGATTCCTCTCCCACAAGTGTCCAGGGACAGGGGTGCTGTGAGAATGTGCAGTTCACAGAACGAGTGAGAATGGCAGAGTTAAAAGAGATGTACCAGTTAAGGGAAAGAAGAAAAGACTGAGTGAGCCAACGTATTTGCTTATTATTTCTCCTAATAGAAACTTTTGGTAAAGGCTTGCTCACAACTCTGAGTAAGTTACATTTCCATAATTTTCCAAAGATACAGTCATTCAGTTAACTTTATTGAGGGCCCTATGTTGCTAGGTACTGGACACACTCTCATTCAGTTGCAGTGTGCCTAAAGCCAGGTCTGTACTCTGTACTAGGAGCTCCTAGTCCAGAAGGGGAACAAGTTCATTAAAGTTCGATAGATTCATAAGGAGTAAGGATATTCCACTCAGAGTGAATGTATAGAACTTCTCGTGTCTCAAAAAAGAGCATGGTCTATGTGTGGACAAGCATTTTTATTTGGCTGGGTCAAAGAGTGCTTGTGGGAAAAGCTTGTTAGTGAAAATAAAAGCAGAATTTTCCCCCAGCTTTACACGATGTAATGTTACAGCAAAAGCCAGCCAATTTGGAGTTGAGCTTTGCTATGGAATGGGGAGACATAAAAGGAAAGCTATATGTTAAACGTGGGTTCTTTTAGGAAATGTAAGAACACAGAAATAGCCTGAAAGTCCAAAGGCCTATTGCTAATAGGATTTAATTGGGTGAGGAGCTTGAGGGAGAAAGACAGTGTTTTGGTAACATCTTATATTATTGGGTTGAATAGCAAGGAAAGTGTATTCTAATTTTCATTCTACCAAGTTCATATGACCACAGGCAAGTTAAGTTATTTCAATTACTCTTATGTAAAAGGAGATTGTATTAAAGGTTCTAAGTCCTCTCCTGCTAAAAAATTCCATGTTTTTTGGTGAGTTGAAGTCATGGAGTTTAACTCAATATTCACCCAACGGAATACTTAGGACCTACTAACTGCTTGGGAAATTGGAGTGAAATATGGGTCGTGCTCTTACCAAACTCAATTGTGTAGTGGGGCAGCCAGAAACCTAACCTACAGAATGAGAAGTGCTATATTAAAGAAGTAAAGAGAATGAGAATAGAGCATTAGTAATCATCAATTAATTAATGATGGAACTATTAATATTAATTCAGCTTGGAGTTGTGGGGCATGAGGTAAAGATCAAAGAACAAAACATTAGATTAGTCCTGGAGAGATCATTAGGGCCAGTGATAACGTAGATAATATAAGTAATACTCTTGGCAAAATACCTGGAACTTAAGTGTTCAGTAAAGAATAGCTATTTTTAAAGTCACCATAAAGATAATGAAGGGCTCCATAAGTTTAGAGACAGTAGTGGCCTGCCCCCACAATGTGAGGCACCTGGCTGCCTTCATTCAGCTGACTGAAGGGGTTACTCAAATGATTCCAGCTCACAGCTCCTCTCCCAGGTGACATGGCATCACCTCAATCAGAAGTAACTTGTAGTTATAAATTGTTTCTAATGTTTAGTTCTTCCTAGCATGACAACCTGTTTTGTAATTATTTTCTCTCTCTCTTATTTTTGCTATGTCAATCCTTGAAATTAGGGATCATGTTTCACAGGCACTTTTGGAAGCATATAAATTTGACCTAAGGCAATTATTTCATAAAATATGTAATAATAAAAAGGGCTCTTTTCCCAAGAGGTCCCTCAGAATAGTTCCACAAGCAGACACCAGCCACTATAAAGAAGATTGTTTCCTCTCAGTCTATTTTCTTTTCTCTTGTTGGTACGGGGTCCTGCCAGCCTCTCACAACCCTGAGAAGGGCAGCAGTAAGACGAAAGATTATGAATCCAATTGCAATAGATACTACAATGATTATCTCTTGTCCCCTTATCCACCAAATGTTGTGACAAAAAGAGCTGCCTAAGGGCAGATAAGGCAGGCCCCAGAATCCTTTAGACCTCCCTAGTTTGGGAGATGCTTTTCTTGAGCCTTTCAGTGAGTTTCAGTGTTATCTACTTACATAACTGAGAGTATGTATAACCAAGACTTTCACAGGATCTATCACTGTGTTACCTAAGAAGTTTCTGAACTGAATGATTATGTAAGCTGGGGTATAGACCTCAACTCATCCACCATGGCCAGCAGCATCACTCACACATAAAAAATGTAGAATAAATATAAATGTATTTTGTTGATTTTAAGGTGCTTTGTTTCCTTCCAGTCAATAACTTTTCTCAGTATCCCTTCATTTTTACTGGTGGTTTCTGATGCTTTCCAGTTACTTGTATCCTCAGTCATCTGGCTAAGAATTTTCTTCTTTCTACTCTTGAAGACTGGATTGGTTTACTAGGCAGGCATTTCTTGGCTCAGCTGTAATTTACAAAGCCTTGTTTGTCATTGTTAGTCCCAATGCCTTTGGACCTCCAGAGTCCAATGTGCTGCTTGACATCCAGGTGCGCTTCCACTGGATCCTGAGGGGAAAACCTGCTGTGTGCTAGACCAAGCTCTGGGCCCTGGAGACGGAAAGATGCATACATAAGCCTTGGTTCAACTTCAAATAATTCAGTGATTATTTTCTGTGTTTCTCTTTTGAGATAACTCTAAGGAAAGGTAAATACCAAAAAAAGCTCATGTCATGGTAAGGAGCTCGTACACATGAAACAAAACCATGAACACCTTAGTATGTCAAAAGGCATAGGCATTACAAAAAAATTTTTAAAGAAATATTTATCTAATGTTATAGAAAAAATTTAGGCTTGCTAGTTATCCAGAAAGGAAAGTTGAAATGAAACATCTATCAAAGTAACAAAAACAATTTTTAGCTATTATAATCATTCCTGGCAAATTGTTTTTTTTTAAAAAAAAATCCCTTCGTCCATTTCCAGTAGCAATGAACGTTGGTACAATGTTTCGAAAGCAATTTGGACGTTTTTCAGGAGCCTTAAATGTGGCCATACCCTTTGACCAGATTTCTCCATTTCAAGAAATGTACTTTAAGGAAACATTCTAAATGTGTAAAAAATGATATTGAAAAATTGGAAATGTCCAACAATTATACAAATGATTATACAAACTGATTCACCCATATAATTAAATTTGAAGTTACTAAAATAACGGTTGTGAAAAGCAAGCTGAAATACAAAAACAGATTATGAGAAAATACGCTTGAGGATAGATGTTTGTCTATTTTCGTCACTGTGAAATCAGAGCCTGCCTCAATATCTCTCAAGGTACCCCGCACAAAGTTAATCCTCTATAAATATTTATTGAGTGAATATGCACTATATTTTTACAATAAGCAAATTTAAAATGTCTGAAAGGAAAATATTTCAAAAGATTTATCAGTACCTAGATTTTGGAGTGTCTATGAATGTGAACAACTTTATTTTTATTTTACTATACTCAGTATTTTTCTAGTTTTCTTTAATAAGCAGGTA